GGGGGGGGGGTGTCGAGTTCGTGTGCTTGTAGAACAGCAGTTCGGTTTATGTAATGCTTGCTTTCGCTGGCGTAGTTGAGCGTTTTAACTCCTTCTGCTGGCCCGTTGGAAGCCCCAGTGCCCGCTCTCTCATTGTCTCCCCGCTAGCGACTTCTTAGGATCGCACCGGCCGGCCACAAGGCTTTGATTACTTCCTGGTAGGGCCCAGGTGCAGCAGCTAGACGAGTCTTTGTTTATTAGCTTTGAGAGGATCGAACGGTGGGTTGAATTGTAGTGCAAAATCTGAATTGTGCATTAAAAAAAACAAAACTGAAGTTCATTGAAGAAATCGATAAAAGCAGCAGCGTTACAATTTAACAGTATGGCATTTTCTCATTGTGAGCTGGAGCTGGGAAGGTAGTTTAGCGAATGCCTTACCACTTTTGACAGGTTACTTCCTAAATGGTGATTATATCCTTGGAGAAAAACAGATGGCAGCACAAACAGAGCGAAAATGTACTCCAGGATAAGGGATTGGAAGAAACTGCAATTTCCTGGAGTTCACAGAGACTTGGTTTTGCATGTCTTTGTAAAAGTCAGATAGATTTTTCTGCATGAAGCCTTTAAAGATTAGCTGCTTAATTGGTTTTCCAGTGCAGTATTGTAGGTCTTTGTGAGGATGCAGACATTTGTATAAATTAGTTCTTACCTATAAATGTATCTACGGTGAATAGTTGAATATGGAATAAGCAAGGTATGTACAATTGCTTTACAAATTGCTTGGTGGTGCATTAAGTATAGCTATAGCTGTGGGTGCTAGAGCTGTTACTTTTAATTTGCTGTTTTTTAAAAACATTTGTGTGTGTGTGTGTGTGTGTGTGTGTGTGTGAAGAGATGACCAAAGTAAACATTAGGCAAGCATCTTTTAAGAAATGCCCTCCTGGCATTTCTTACATAAAGTCACATCAAACATAAAAATGGCTTCATTGGCCACATGCATCTAAAGAAGGCAAAGAATTGTGCAAATGGCTGATATCCTGTTGTGAGTCAGTCTTGCCTCCACCAGTCAGGGAATCCAAGACACTTGGTTGTGACAAAGAGATGCAGAAAATTGAGCATCTCTTGAGCAACTTAATGAATTAAGAGGGAACATAACCAAGTGACTTATGTTGATAACCAAAGCAAACTAGTATGTTGATCCCTGGCTCTTGTCCAAGAGCTAGGAGGGTGTCTTTGCATCTTGCAAGAAAGTTTGCCTCTTGACATAGCCTTGCCAGATGGTTCTGGCCTCTTGTTTGCATTTATAGAACCAATAGGGCTAGTATCTCAACTTTGTGGGCATACCCCCCCTTCAACTGCGAATTGGACCCATTTCATGTGGGCCTCCCGTTTTAACCTGTTGGCATCTATTTGTTAATATAGTCTGCCGTTACTATATTGAGCTAATCTTGTTCTTGCCTGCCTGTATTTTTTCAGTAATTAAATGATTAGTACATCTGTGAGTCTTTAACTAACTCATCTTCTTGATTGTTGTGTATTCTGGTAGTTATTTTCCAACATTTTTGTGGTCTTCTCCCCTTTTTTTTTGTATGGGACCAACAGGGTAGCTAATGTTCTGAATAATGCTGTGACTTGTTATTCGAGTGTGATTACGTCCTTATTAAGGAAGGGATCCCTCTTTTGGCAAAGAGACAATTCAAGTAATGCCCTCACCTTGTTTTCTTGTGGAGTTTGCGATTACAACAGAGTGAGGCAAGCTTAAAGGCACCAAATACATTGCAAAAGACCAGCATTTTATATTCTTAAGAGCTGGCATCCTTGGATGTTAGTTTTGTTTCCTCTGAATATCAGTTCATTATTTCATCTGTTCATTTTTTCCCCTTCACCTCACATCTTGCTGTTAGGATGAGCCAGGTAGCTTTTGTGGAAACTTTGCAAAAACTCTTTTAAAAAAATCATTTATTGAGGGCTCGTACAACTCTTATCACAATCCATCTATCAATCCATTGTGTCAAGCACATTTGTACATTTGTTGCCATCATCATTCTCAAAACATTTGCTTTCTGCTTGAGCCCTTGGCAAAACTCTTAATACACTATTCAAGTGTTAAGTTGTGTTATAGTCCAGGGCATCTTTTAAAAAATTTTTTTAAATAATTTTATTTGGAGCTCTTACAGATATTATAACAATCCACAATTCAATTAGATCAAGCATAACTGTACAATTGCTGCCACCATCAGTTTCAAAGCATTTTTTCTTAATGAACTCTTTGGTATCAGCTCCCTCCCCCACCTACCCCCCAGGAACCTTTATTATTATGTATTATTATTTTTCCATATCTTACACCATCCCTTGTATCCATTCACCTACAATTTTGTTATTTATTCCCCTCAAGTGGGGTTATACCATCATTATTGCTATCAGTTTCTCCCCCCCCCCCCCCTTCTCTTCCTGTACCCTCAGGGAATCATTACTCCTGTTATTATTTCTGAAGGGCTTATTTATCTATCTTGTATTTCATGCATTGAATGATCTTAATTATACAAATGAGCATATGCAGGTCTAACAAGATTAATGAGGTAAAACTAAGACCATAATAGGAAGGGGAAGAAATATTAAAAAACTGGAGGATAGTTATGTGTTTCATCAGTGCGATACCATACCCTGGATATATCATCCCTTCTGTGAGGGACTCACCAGTTATCTTACAGATGGGTTCTGGGTCTCCACCCCTTCACATCAATTTGATTGCTTGTTTTTGATCTTCTGATACCTATTCCTGTTGCCAGCTCATGATCACACAGGCTCTTGTGCTTCTTCCATGTGGGCTTTATTGCTTCCCTACTAGATGGCCGCTTGTTTAACTTCAAGCCTTTAAGACCCCACATGCTATATCTTTTCATATCTGGGCCTCATCAGCTTTCTTCACATTTGCTTATGCACCCATTTTGTCTTCAGCTATCTTGTTGGGAAGGTGAGTATCATACATTGCCACATTATTGGAACAAACCATTCTTGTACTGAGGTAGGATTTAAATAGAGGTCCAGAGTCCATCTGCTTCCTTGTACGTGTGTGCGTACACACACGCACGCACATATATACATACACTCAAATACACTTATCTTTATATATTTATAGAGAAAAATATCTATATTTATGCCTATATTTAAATTTTACTTTTTTTCTTTCCTCCTCCCCCACTATCATTGTTTACCTATCGTTCAGTAATCCCTCTCAGATATATTTCTTTTTGTTGTTTTTTACACTTTTAAAAAAGTTTAATTTAATACTTTTATTAGGGGCTCTTGCATCTCTTATCACAATCCACACAATCATCCATTGTATCAAGCACATTTGTACACATGCTGCCATCATCATTTTCAAAGCATTTTCTTTCTACTTGGGCCCTTGATATCAGCTCCTCGTTTCCCCCTCCCTCCCCTGCCCGCCCTCTTTCATGAACCCTTGATAATTTATAGATTATTATTTTCATATCTTACATCATCCTCTGTTGCCCTTCACTCACTTTTCTGTTGTTCGTCCCCCTGGGAGGGGGTTATATGTTGATCCTTGTGATCGATTCCCCCTTTCTTCCCCCACCTTCCCCTTATCCTTCTGGTATCTCTGTTCTCATTGTTGACCTCTCAGATACATTTCAATAGATCAAACATGACCAGGAATGCTACATCCTTCTCACTGTCAATTTTCGATCCCTTGTCTTTGTTGTTATTGGCTCACCGGTCCCCTCTCCCATGTCCTCCTGGAACCGTTGGTCCCATTGCTGTCTCCTTGGGATTGCTTATCCTGCCTGTTATTTAGATAGACATCAAAGAGAGAGAGAGAGAGACAGACAGACAGACAGACACAGACACCATACAAATAGTTCCAAATCTGACTTTTGTCCTCACCCGGAGTAGCTGAGTGTCTCTTTGTTAAATAGTGAGCAGGCCCTGTTACAATCCATCAGTCCAATCCCCTTTTCTTTCAGGGGTCCATATCCCAGAACCTGCTGACCTAACTGCACTTAGACTCTTAATCCTCAGCATTTGTGACCCAGGGGCATGCCTTCTACGAGATCCCATTCCTGCAGTCAAGGATGGAGTGGTCTAGTGCCCCACCCCCAGCCTATTACACCTTTAGACTTTCACTGTGGCTCCCTGTGAATATTCCCCAACCAGTTCATATGAGGTGCCAAGCTCTGCCCCACCCCAGTCAGAAGTCTACAATTAGGATTCCTCAGGGATTTTGTGGCTTTGTGTCCATTGGTGGTCTGTTGTACTTCCCTCTTGATTTGCCCCCATGTGGACAGGTCAGAGAGGCTACTCTC